TCAGTCTTAGCAGACAAATCAACAGTTCTGCCCTCTCCCTACCTCCACAGGGCCAGGTCTGCAGGATGCAGTTGCTTCTCTTTAGGCATATCAAAGCAGGTTCTGAGGTATGACTTCACCACGAATTGATGCAATAAGAACAAACCTTGAAAGTTGTCTGTGTGAAAACAAACCTGAGCATCCTTGTTTTAGAGGGAGTGACTACAGTGGAGTGTGTGGCTAATCCCACTGAGGTGGGAGATGCAGCAACCCAAGTTCAAATCCCAGCAATGTCTGAACCAAAGCAGAAACTTTTTTGGTGGAGGTCTTCTCAAGTGGGTAAAAAATGAATATTCCACTTCCTTTTGGTTTTTTTCATAATTGAGTCTTGAGATAAGTCAACTTTCTTGGCTGATTTCTGGTGTGCAACCATAGAAGGAAATTTGTTGGCTATCTTTGTTAACAAAATTGTTTCTTTAGTGTCTCCAGTGAAGCAAAGTTCTTGCAACCCCTTCTTATATTCTGCAGCCAGCTGAGGTCCAAAGGGTGGTGGTTGGGAATCAAACAAGGAACATTTGAATGAAATCCCACACAATGAAGCCTTAAACAATTTCTAAACAACGTCTTTGGCACATAGACTTCTTCCATGATCTCAGTTTCCTGAGAAACGTTTTTGACATAAGTGTTTATGTGCCACCTGCCTTGTAGCAAGTTTATACGGGGAAGAAATAGAAGCTGGTATGAAATGAAGCAGGGTGGGTATCCTATCAGCCACTACAAAGAAGCAAAGTCTAATTATGCTATGCCAGCTGGCACTTTAATTTTCAAAAAACCCCTAAAATGTCAGGTATGTCATTCATGGATAAGAAAAAGCAGTATCTAGCACAGAGTTTACATAATTTCTCTACACCCTGTACAGATGAGAAATCTCATCTAGAGGACTTTTATGTAGATAGTTTTTAACTTGTAATAATTTTTGGTTAAAATGCAAGAACACAACGTATCTGTCTGGTGTGAGACAGGATGTGTCTGACTATATAATCAAGTTAGACTGAGCAAAGATGATTTTAGAAATTTTCTCCGTCTGGGTTCACACCATGTGCATCTTTGTATTGCCTGACCCATGCATCCGAAGAGAAATTATACCAGTAGCTCCCTCTGAAACAACATTTCTGCTAACCGGTCTCTTTCCGTCCACCCAAAGTCCTATTCCATCTGTTGATCTGACAAGTAAATCTGAGAAGCCACTACAAGCATGTTGTAAATACGGAGGAATTTCTGTCAAAGATTTCAACATATTTCATTGTTAAAGGGATGTCCCTAATCTCGTTCAATGTAAAGGCAAAATTCCTGTTGTAATAAGTGTGGGAATGAACACTCTGTCTTGTGACTTCCCAGGACCACTATAGAGTAGAGAAAGGTAAAATAAGGGGTAGAAATCGTTCAGAGAATGGAAAAAGGAATAAAGCTGAAAGGACAAAACTATTGCTTGAACTACTAGCCATAATCCCAAGGCATTGCTATACCGGTGCATCCCCTCTTGCTATACCTGTGCATCCCCTCTCTTTACCTTAAATGTCTCTCCCACAAACCCCAGCTGAGCCCTGCAAGCTCCTCACTTACTTTGCTATGTGCACAAATGGCTGATCCCAAAAGTTTCCATGTGCCTCCCCGCCTGTCCATTCGGAGCATCCGTAGGATCTGAAGGAAGCGGAGGCTTCTGAGAGACGTGGCCAGAACATTGCCCTGGTTCCCAACAGCAACCACGGGCACTGAAGCAATCAGCACAAAGATATCTGCAAGGCGAAAAGAACAAAGCCTGCCAACAAAAGTGGCGCCATCACCTGCTTCTTAATCCCATCTGGTTGTGCTGCAGATATCCCCAGGCAAATTTTAAAGCTGCCTGAAAATGCCTTTTCTTGCCAATTAAACAGATATCTGAACCTGCCGCGCAGTTAGCATCATGCACAGAACCCACTAGAGCGCCTCGTAATCTGTTTACAGATCAATGCACTGGACTTGAGACACTGCCTGAGCTTGCTTAGGGAGGCACAGAAAGCGTGTCCTAGTGCTGACAGAAAACCAACACTAAATTCATCTGTCCCACGGGACCACCATCGTGAAGGCAGTCTTATAGGTCAGCAGACAAGAAAATCTGTTTTTGATGGTGCATCTACTATTTTTTTCTTCTGGCTGAGTTTTCCATTAAAATCTCAAAGCCAGTTCTATTTTCTGTAAGGGCTCACAGCGTCAATTTGCTGATCAGCTGAAGAGGTCTGAAATGCAAATCACATCACTTCTGGTTGTTGTTTTTTTTTCTTTTTCTTTCTTTTACTTGTTTCCCCTTTACTTTTTAATCCTATACATACACAAGTAAAACATGGTACCAAAGGGTTTCAAACATTCTCTGGGCACTCAGTCTTTATATTGTCTTCATATTTTATTTCTAGACAAAAAGAGTGGCACCGAATGGGTTTCAGATTTATTCACTTTCAATCATTATCGAAACAAATTTGTGCCAGGGACAACCAAGAGATGATACTAATAAATCCAGTGGGATCTTTTCTGTTCCTTACCAGATATCAATGAAGATTCATTCTCAGAAGTGAGATAACACTTTCACTGAGAAGGCATGAGATGGTATCAATCCCACTTGCTCACACCACGCTCTACTGCCTTCACAATGCTATTAGAAGTATAAGAAGTATTTCTACAACAGTAGCACCCAAAGGAGCACTACTAAATTGAAGATAGCACAGATGCACAAAGAAAATTTGTTCCAATTCTGTCTACTGTTTAGACCGATAAGATGAATAAAAGGAGGGAGAGGGAAGAGGGTAGCATGTATTCACATAACTGCAGCACCATGGCTCCCCAAAGTGCTATGTGCTGTAAAAATAAAGAACAAAAAGCTAGTGCTTGGCCTGAAAAGCGTCACAATAAATGACAGAGTCCTGGAAACACTGAACAAATGTGGATGTGCATGACAGGTGCTCAGGGCAGAGTGAGCTTCTAAATGTTGGCTAGTTGGTTAGTGGACATAATGGAGAGTTTTAGGAGATGGTTCAACATGAATAACGAGCAGTTTTATGATAGCTGTAGGCAGTGCCTTCCAAACCTGAAAGACAACATTGGTGAAAACACAGAGATACTTGTTTGCAAATGCAGACCAACATTACAAAGGTAAAACACAACATTTGAATATGAAAGAGGGCTGGGGAAGATGGCACAGGGTTGGGACCTGGAGCAGTTTGAAACTGAAGAGAGACAGGGTATATTTCGGGATGAGCTTAAGAAAAATGCAGTGGGACTCAGGACGAGGAAACTGTGTTTGAAGAGTAGAAAGATTAATTTTTTTTATCCCTGAACAGCCACCCAAGCGTCTCTTGAATGAATCGTTATTGCCAGGTACTTCAAATAACTACGCCAAGCAGGACACAGTTCCTAGCATAAAGAGCAAATGTGATTTCAGTGCTTTTTGCACTGCCATTCACTGGTTCTTGGCATCCCCCCAAACTGCCTCGGAAGAAAAAGGACATAGTGGGGAAAACAGTAGTAGAGAGCATGTGCCTACCCAGCATGCACAAAGGCTTCCTGGCAAATTTGAGTCTCCCCCTCCATCCTTTGTAGCGGCAGCAACACCCAGCAGCCCAGATTCTTAAGGCAAACTCTGCTCCAAAGATGAAAATGGCAAAGGTTTCCTGTATCAAAGACACAAACTACATTGTTAGACTCGTAACAAGTTTCGCAGTAATTCTGGACACAAGGATATAACTGAAGGAAACAGATGAGGTGCAAGTGTTGGGGTATGTGTGTGAGAGAGAGAGGAGAAAAAAGTGGGGAGATAAATATAGGTTGATGAAAGAGGCAAGGCAAGGTGGGACATAGCTTTACTGCCTGCTAAGTACTCTGCAGAAAGGATATGCCCCTGCTGCTGGGTAAATGCGAAGTGCTTACCCTGCCTTGATGAAAGGGCAATTACTTCATGAGAAGACCTCCTGTTTCACACTAAATGAGAAGACATATGTGAGTGGTGACTGCAAAATCCCCAGTACACTGTATACCCACACCCAGGCTTACCCACCAGCAGCTTGTTCATGCAGCCATATCTAGAGAGGCAGGGGCAGGATATGGTATATTCATATTGTCATATTTAAGGCAATGATAAAGGCATATATAAGACAAATTTAAGGCATAGTATTATCCCCTTAAATTTCTGGAACACAGAAGAATGTAATTTTCCACCATGCTTAAGAGGTCTTCTAAACATGGGGAGGGAGTGGGGAGGAGAGATCTTTCCCAAGGTGCTCAGCAGAGATGGGCCAACAGCAGCATGGGGCACACAGTTACTTTTCCTCTCTGTGAATAGATGACAAGGAGGGAAAGGGGATTTTTCCTGATGCTCATACCCACAGCTGCTACGCACTTCTGAAAACCACTGAAAGCCACATAAAAGCAAGCACAGGAGAAGGAAAAATAACCTCAGGCTTTTTCAAATGTGAATAGATAGGTCTGAGCAGGGTAACAGGGACCAAAAGTGAGTTTTGCATTCCCTAGGGAATGAGGGTGTTTTCATACAAGTGCTTTTTGAGAAGGAACAGGCAACGAGAATTCACCTTTCACATCTCTTGGCACTTAGTTCCTGCTCGGATCTACATGTCTCTGAGGGTATATCTCAGATCTACTCTTGCTGTGCAGTTTCCCTACGATGCTTTTCTACAAGGCCAAGTTAAGTGAGAGACCATGCTTTCTATTTCATGATAGCTATGACAGCAGAGGAAGTTCTTTGTTAGGGGAATTTTCATAATATGATGAATACATTGTGTTTATAATTAGTGAGGGGTTTTTTCCTATTTTTCTCATCTTCTGCCAAATGGGAGGCCTACAGAAATACAGTCTTGAGCATGAACTCCAGCATTTATAAAACAAGCATGCTGGAAACACAGAAAAAGAAATATATTTGCTGCAAATACATAGATAGTCATCGGAGGCACTGCTTGCAACCGTTTCAGTTATGCTGCTATTGGGCACAAGCACGAGTCCAATTCTGATGACGTCCATTGAAAGAAATGCTGTGATTTGTAGGATATTATAGAATGAATCAAAATTGTTGGAAGATCCCCAAAAAATGAGTTTTCAAATGTGCTCAGGTCTGGCATGGTCAATAGGAAAATATTGATACTTCAATGGGAGAACTGTTAGGCAAATACTGAAAGCTCATTATTTAAAAGTCTCAAGTTAGTATTTTTCCTCTCTCTGACTTCGTTTTTACTCAGTCATTGTTGACAATGGACCAGGAACTCTCCAATATGTAAGTGTACGGTCACTGCCTGAGGACCAACAGAAGATACCTTTTTGTATGCAAAGCTGGGAGTAAGTTTCCATCACTGCTGATGGGCCTGGTTTCAATTCAAGGACATTACCAGGGTGACGCAGCAGCCACTACTTACCAGCAAGAGGAGCCAGTCTCCTGAAACGGTTTCATACTCCTTGAAAGTTGTCAGGACAGCTAAGATCAAACACCCCAAGACAATCAGAAACCTGGAATGAAATCAAAGGAAAACACAGCATTGTTATCCCTCTATGTATTTCCACTGGAGATATTGCCTATAAAATCTGGGGTAGAGACCTTCAGCGAATGGCTACTTCCTATTGGTGAGCAGTGAGGTGGGCTCTCATGAAGATCAGGGGTTCTCAGCCTGGACAGGGGAGTCTTGGCAGCCAATAAAACATGGCAAGACCCTGAATCAGAATGGTCCTGGGACAGACATGCATTAATTAACTCAACTGCATTCTTCAGGAAGGTAATGGATGATGCTGCGTTTTGGGAAGGGATTATATGGTATGGCAGAGGACTGTCATGCTCAGGAGGTCTATTCCAAGCTTTGTGCTTGTGTACTTCACAAAATGGCACTGCAGTTACAGTGGAATGAATCTGCTTGGCACAGCCTGAGACCTGAGAAACAGTAAACGATTCAACACAAAGGACAAACCCTCTCTTGAAAACTGCACTGCATTTCTTTTTCCTTCTGTTTTTGCACTCATTTCTATGCAGATGAAAAGCTGAAAAGGTTTGACAGAAAAACAATAGAGAGGGTAAAGTTCTGCTCTCCAGTAAACACAGTGCATGATAAATCACTACCCCTGTGCTATTGTCTGTCTGTGAGGCTCCAGAACACAGAGATTTGACAGAAATTTTAACTCCCACTGCTGGTAAATCCAATTTGGTCTAATCTAAAGTCACATTGATCTGCTTTGTAAAGCTATTGCGAGGTCCAAGCTATTCAAAATCTTTTACACATAAAGAGGTAAGAAACATCGAGGGAGTCTCGTAAGTGGTAACTGTGAAGCAGAGTGGGGGAAGGTCATATTCCAGTACTTCATGTACCCAGATCATGGGCATTTTAATGTGCTCCCAAAACCTAATCCACAGGAACAGAGGGGCCATGGAAATATTTCAGACCTTGGTGAATAAACTGGAAGTACATCTCCATAAAAGCTCTGGATCCCTTGCTTTCTATAGCTAGGGTACATCAAAAAAATGATGGGCATTAGGTACTGAAATCACCCAGGGAAAAAAGCTTGTTAAGACTCAAACTGTGCTTAGTCTGTACTACCCGTTTTGAATTTCAATCTGATACTTAAAGTGTGATTTCATATCTTGCTGAATAAAACTCCACTTTGTTTCACTGGGTGAAATGATCAAAGTCCACAGCCTGCAGTGTGGAGGCAGAGAGCAAGGACCATGGGGAAGGGGGCTCAGCTCAAAGACATGTGTCCTCTAACCTGCCTTGGGGTTTTGTTTCCTTCTGGTATGGGGAAACCTAGGGCTAAGGGAGCATGTCCTGAAAATTTGCAACATTTTTGCAGCTGGAGTAAATGGAGAGAGATCCAGATAGATCCTGCCATCTTTTGGGGGTGAATCTCCCCCAAACAGCATCAGCTAGCACCCTTCATGCAAGGAGCAGGCAACAGTGGAACACTTCACAGCAAAGCCTAAAGGATTACTGTGCTGTGGCTTTCCTAACATTAGCTGTTGAGACTGGAGTTTCCTATGCCAGGAAAATTTCAGATCAGCCATTTCAAGCAAGGTTAGAACAGAAATAAATATGTTTGCTCATGCTAAATAATTCTGGATTTCTTTGACAAGTTTCACCTTCTCCCACTCACCGGCCATGCTCTAGAGCAAGGGTTATGTGATTGGTAGGAAACAGAATGTGTCTTTTACCATCTACCTGTTATGAACCGCACTCCTGCTGCTCAAGACATTTGGTAGTTAACCTAGCAATTCTGCAATGTTCCTGCCAAGCCCTCAAGCTTGCTTTGTCGCACCAGACCCTGCTCTCCCCACCTTGCAATTACGAAGCCAGTGGCTCACTGGCTTCCCAAGACCCACGATCCAAGTACCCTGCATCTCTATGAGCCAAGTGGTGCGAACTCAACCGAGGCAACATGATTCCTTCAATCAGCTATAAACCACCTATGATCCACCACATTGCAGCCGTTACAGTGGTACCATCACTAATTCTCCACTCAAAGCCTTGAGCCATGGCTACTTGACACTTTCCACTACAGCCATTTCTTTATACCATGTGAAAATTCAGTCACCCACCAGCTTACAAGTATCATGTTTTAATGAAACGATTTAATGAAAGGCGAAACACAATGAAGACAGTCCAAGGAAATGACATCATCAGCTACCTAAACTAAAGGTGTGAATTTACAATATCATTCAACAAAACAGCACTGTCAATTAAAGACGATGTGCAGATTTTTGTCCAAGAGGAAGAGGGAAGATAGTAGTGAAATCGTCTTTGCCTAAAACTGCCTGCGGTTTTACCACTAGAGGGTAACGGTGCTCCACAGAGCAAGGGGATACGGCGCTCGCTCCTGTTTTCATTCCCCATGAGACAAACTCAATGTAGGTGATGTTCAGGTGATCCCAGCCATGTATTTGATATGCAAGAAAAGGGAGTCTCACGGCAGTGAAAAAAACCCAAATGTTTGCATTAATGGACAAGGAGCGCTGCTAGCTCGATCTCTCTGCGCGCCACAGCCCGTGCTGCAAGCCCCACTGCTGAAAGTGAGAGCCCACCCATGAAAACAACAGACCATGCAGGACAAAAAAAAGGGTAAAAATAGGGTGAGAGGGTGAGACTGGAGTTCACAAGTCATCATGAATAATTTCGAGGGCAAACCTGAGCAGGGAATGTGGTCTGAACTCCCCATTGCAGGAAGTGCATGAATGCAGCCCAGAAAAGTGCCTCTGAGGTGCAACTGCTGCGCAGGAACCTCAGTCCCAAAAAAACACAAAGCCCACGGAGCCAGGTTCCTGCTCCTTCTTGCAGTACTCTGGGGCGTATGGGATGAAAAGCCTGTGTTGGGACACATAACTGCAATCCACCTTGGAAGGGCCAGCTCTCCTCCAACCACACTGTTTCCAAAGGATAAACACCCACTGCAAGTTAATCAGATCACATCTCAGCAATCCTCTCTTAGCATCTGAAATGACGCCCGTGTTCAGAGCATGCAATGAATTTTAATCTCCATTGATGATATCCAGCCCACCAATTTCCCTGCAGCCTCTTCTGGTTCGGATCTTGGTGTTTATGAAGCCTGCAAGTTTCCTTGTGTCCTCTTTCTATGGAGGATGCTACACAGGTGGAATCATGAATCCCCCTTACGGAGCAAAGATGATAGCAAGGTACATCCTCGCCTTGCTGTTTTTGCCCATATTGTGGACATATATACCACCTATGCCCATATTGTGGTCTTGTGAACATAAAGACTCTTAACTTGCTTGACAGTTGCTGAGTCTACATTGTCCTATGGCAGTAGGACAATACCTGAGTCTATATTGTCTAATTTCATCTTTTAGAGGCAGCAGTGGGGGTCTGGTGGTTGAGTCTGACTGTAAAAATCGTAACGGGCAAATCACAGGGACTGAAACTGCTGAAATCACAGGGGATGATCAGAGGAGAGACTAACAGTGACCTGGGGAATCAAGGGGCAGAGAGGGAGAAAGTCTCAAATTTACTCACAGTTATAACGCTACTATCCACAGGATGTAGAGCACCAAGGGTTAGAAGAAATAAATAAGGTAAAAGTCAAGGTTTAGTAATAAAAATTGAGTCTTATGAAGAAGCCTAAGCTTCCTGTTGAACAGTGTTTTAGTAGGAGGCAGACTTCAAGACTGTAAATCAGATATGCCAAATGAGGATCTGAATTTGGTTCTGCAGTTTTTAGAATCATCCTTACTATCATTTTACATCGTTTTTCACAGCCCATTACAATGTACCTATTTGCAGTATTATGCCTAACATCCTGATTAGTTTCTTGTATGTATAAGTTCCAGACCACCAAATGGCAGTGCTCTTTTGTCACGGTCTCAACTAATATGCTATTCTAGTAAATAAATGTTCTCGTTGTTGGGAATCACATGTTTAACACTGATATTTTCTAATTGCACTATTTTGGTGTATTAAAGACAGTATTCCAAAACCAATACATATTTTTCCAGGAAAGAAGAAACAATTTATGACTATGCTGGATCATGAATCTAATGTTTCTTGGATGAACATCACAGAACGTTTTCTTTGCTAAATTTTGGTTTCTTTTAATATTTCACATTCTTTGAGTTTTTCTTCTCTATTTGCTTTCACTTGGAGCCAATATAATGCAGATCTAGCTGAGAACTTTTTCCATATATAGGTGCTCATCACGTATCCTGCTCATCATCTCTTGCTTCAAAATTTTAGGAGCAGATCACATAGTAATTTGTACATAACCTATTCCAAAACATAGCAGTCCTTTTGAAGCTGTCACGAGGACAAGATACATCAGACCAAACTGTATTTGCATCTGGCATCATTTTGGCAAATTTTGCCCCGTGTGACAAAATTTTAGATCTCAAGTAGTCTTACAGTTAATAGAGAGGAACGTGTGCTTCCAGTGTACAACTCATGTTGGTCAGAAGCTGGTCAGAAGCACCTACAGAGACATCTTCTTCTCTATGACTGTAAGGAAAGACTCTAGTGACTAGCTCCTATGGAGGTGTTTACTGTGTAAATTAGCTGAATGCCGCCCCTTACGTTCAGCCCTGTTTTGGATGTAATTACAAACACTGCCTGTTAATAATGTTTATATATTTTTACTACTGAAAGAATTAGCCTACCAGCCATATCAGCCCACTTCTTACATAACCAGGTTTCTCCTAACTCCCTTGCTGTAAATATAGGTATCACATCTACATATGGCTGAGGATTCTGCTCAGAAAACAATAATCCAGGCTCTGGGCAGGAAAGCCTCTTGAACAGTTACTAGTAAGAAATCCCCTCCAGTGCAGCAGTGCATAGACTTCTCTTTGCTCTCACATCTTCGACATCATTTCTGCAAGCCATTGGAATTTTCTTCGTCTCCAAATGTTCATATGAATCTGAGATTTTTCTGCTTTGTTCCATTTGGTCCTTTCTTGTTTTCCCCTAAAACTTGTGTTCTAGTTTCATTATTTTCTGCCACCTGGCAAATGCTAATGGAATTCT